GCTCTGATCATCCAGTCATTGAAGCCAGGTCAAGTGGGTATTATCTGCAAGTGTGGATGTGCTTGTACATATGCAGTCTCTTCTTATCAGCTGGACGCTTCACTCTCCACTCTAGTCTTCTGTGGCTATGTCACTGACTCTGGGCCCAAGAGTCCCCAGGTCTTGCCACACTGCTGGCCAACCAGGGCTCCACCTGGGTTCACAGAAGTCTATTGAATGTAGTAGGGCTTAGCTTGCAGCTTTTTTACTGTTTTTCCCTCACTTCCTCTTATCGGTGACAAGCATGGTCACTAATCAGATCATGTGTTCCCATTGAGTCTTAGTCTTGGAAGGGGGTTTGCACTGAGGGGACCCGACCACTTGCCCTGATGTCTCCTTGGCAAGCAACTTGCTTGTTCTTGTAGTAACAGTCACTCTGCCTATATTGTTTTGTATTTTTCCTGTCGGTCATTCTTTCAAGAAGTATCTTCTGTACCTCTAGCCACTCTAGGCTGGTCTGCTCTTCCTTTCAAGCGGAAATTTCCCATCTCTGAAGATTCTGGATGTGGTTCAGGATTCTACCTTTAGTCTTTATGTAATGCAGAGGCTCCGCAGGAAGCCTCCTTCACTGGGCATGTTGTAGCCCCATTTTAGGTATACCAATCGGTTACAGGCAGAAGGCAGACTTACAGGCTTTCTATGGTGATATTTCTGGCTATTCCTTTCTCTCCCCCTCCAGTGTCTATTTTATAATATAATGCAAGGAAACATTGATTTCTTGATGGCTGCTTCCATGAGCAAGCAAAATGAACTCTGATAGCTTCAATCTTTTCTCCATTTACATGATACTATTTATTGGTCCAGTGGTGAGGATTTTTTTTTTTTTCCTTTACATTGAGATGTAACCCATACTGAAGGCTGGGGTCTTTGATCTTCTCAACCCATGGCGATGGCCGGGGTGTTTGATCTTCATCAATAAACATTTTAAGTCCTCTTTACTTTCAGCAAGCAAGGTTGTATCATCTGTATATTACAGATTGTATATGAGTTTTCCTCAAATCTTGATCCCATGTGCTTCTTCATATAATCCACCTTCTCGAATTATTTGCTCAGCATACATCTCAATGTAAAGAAAACAAAAATCCTCACCACTGGACCAATAAACAACATTCTTATCAGCTGAGAAAAGATTGAAGTTGTCCAGGACTTCATTCTTCTTGGATCAACCATCAACACTCATGGAAGCAGCAGTCAAGAAATCAAACGACGTATTGTATTAGGCAAATCTGCTGCACAAGACCTTTTGAAAGTGTTGAAAAGTAAAGATGTCAGCTTGAGGACTAAGGTGCGCCTGACCCAAGCCATGGTATTTTCAATAACCTCATATGCATGCGAAAGCTGGACAATGAATAAGGAAGACTGTAGAAGAATTGAAGCTTTTGAGTTATGGTGTTGGAGGAGAATATTGAAAGTGCCATGGGCTACCAAAAAAACCAGTAGATTCGTTTTGGAAGAAGTGCAGCCAGAGTGCTCCTTAGAGGCCAAGGTGGCCATACTTTGTCTCATACTTTGGACATATTGTCAGGAGGGACCAGTCGCTGGAGAAGGATATCATGTTTGGTAAGGTGGAGGGTCAGAGAAAAAGAGGAAGACTCCCCATGAGATGGATTGGCCAGGTGGCGGCATTGATGGACTCAAGTGTGGCAACAGTAGTGAGGTTGGCCCAGGATCGGGCAGTGTTTCGGTCTGCTGGGCATAGGGTTACTATGAGTTGGTGCCGACTTGATGACACCTAATAACAACAACAACATACAGATTGAATATATATGGTGAAAGAATACAACTCTGGTGCACACCTTTGTTAATTTTAACCATTCAATATCACTTTGTTCTGTCCCAACAACTGCTTCTTGGTCTACGTACATATAGGTTCCTCATGGAATACCCATTTTTCAACATGTTGTCCATAGTTTGTTATGACCTTCCCAGTTGAATGATTTTGCATCATCAATAAAGGACTAGTAAGCATTGTCTGGTAGTCTCTGGTTTCAGACATGATTCATCTGATGTCAGCATTGTTGGTATTCCTTCCATCTTCTTTTGATGCATTTTGCATCCTTCAAGACTTGAATTTTTTATTCAGTTCTTTCAGTTTGAGAAATGCTGAAGTGGTTTTTTCCCTTTTGATTTTCTAACTCCTGGCCTTTGCATATTTCATTATATTTTACTTTGACTTCTCAAGCTGCCCTTTGAGATTTTCAGTTCAGCTCTTTTACTTCCTCATTTCTTCCAGTTGCTTTAGTGTCTGTACATTCAAGAGCAAGTTGCAGATTGTCTTCTGACATCTATTTTGGTCTTTTATTTGTTTTTTTGTCCTTTTAATGACCTTTGTTTTCTTCATGTATGATGCCCTTTATATTAAACAGTGAATTGACTGAAGACTTACAAAGCAGATCATCAATTTTACATTCAACCAATCAGATACTTTGATTAATTACAATGATTTCAAGCCCCCCCTCCATGTACCAGCAATTAACAGTATTTACCATTATTCACTTTAACTCTTGCATGCTACCCTTTTTTGTCCTCTGCCTTCATCTTTCCTCTGCCAACTTCTGTCTTGTATATTGCATGTGTGATGTTCTTGATGTCATCCAACAACTTTTCTGGTCTTTGGCCATTGGTGTCTAATGCATCAGATCTGTTCTTGAGATGGTTTCTAAATTCATGTGGGATATAGTCAAGATCATATTGGCTCTGGTGGACTTATTTTAATTTTCTTCATCTTCAGTTTGAACGTGCATATAAGCAATTGATGTTCTGTTCCATAGACTGCCCTGGCTTTATTTTGGCTGGGGATATTGAGTTTCTCCACTGTCTGTTCCCACAGATGTAGTCCGTTTGATATCTGTGTATTCCATTTGGTGAGGTCCAGGTGTATAGTCACCTTTTATGTTGTTAAAAAAAGATACATGCAATGAATAAGTCGTTGGTCTTGCAAAATTCTGTCATGTGATCTGCAGCATCGTTTGTATCACCAAGACCATATTTTCCAACTACGGATTCCACCTCTGATTCCAGATTTCACATTCCAGTTATGAGTGATATTCAATGCATTTTGATTGCATGTTTGATCAATTTCAGACTGAAGAAAGTGGTAGAATTCTTTAGTTTCATCATCCTTGGCTTTTTTGTTGGTGCACAACTCTGTATAATAATGTTATTAACTGGTCTTCTTTGTTGTATGTTGTTGTTGTGAAGTGCTGTCAAGTTGGTTCTGACTCACTGCGACCCTGTATAGGATTTTTGAGTAGCCTCTGGTAAGTTTGAACTATCGACCTTGTGGTTCAAACTGACCTTGCGGTCCAGTGCAGTAATGTGCCGTGCCACACCAGGACTTCTCCTTGCTGTGTGGTGGTGGTTATGTACTGTGGCGTTGCTTCCCACTTATAGTGCCCCATAGAGGGTTTCCCAGGCTGTAAATCTTTACGGAAGCAGAAAGCCTCATCTTTCTCTTGAGGAATGGCTGGTAGTTTTTAACTGCTGACCTTCAGATTAGCAGTGTGGCTCATAACCACCATGCTACCAGAGCTCCTTCCTTGTCATATATTTGTATGTTGTTGTTGTTAAATGCTGTTGAGTCAGTTCCGACCCATAGCGACCCTGTATAGGATTTCCGAGGAACAGCCGGTGAGCTTGACCCGCTAACTTTGCGGTTCAAAGTGACTTTGCAATCCAGTGCGTTAACCCACAGTGCAATACCAGGACTCTATAATAGTTGTATAGTATTTCATTATATCAATGTACCCTAATTTGTTTAACCAATTCTCTATTTAAGGGCATTTATTTGACCTGCTGTCACTTTTCCCCCCTTTTTAAAACTGTTTTATTCAGTTTGCTAAAAGCCCTCTCTTTAACTCAGCATGACTTCAACTCTCCAGTGCTGCTGTACGTGCATGTCTTCATGGTGATCCAGTGTTGGGGTTCTCCATTATCTAAAGTAGCTCACCAGTGTGTTTACATATTTGTTCGTCTCCCCTTCCACCCCATAGTGTCAACTCCTTGAGCACCTAGTAAGGACCTAATAAATTGTGTGAGTGTCTGTGTATTTGCTTCTCAAACTTCAAATTCAGCTATCTATTTGTAGAATGTTTATTATCCGTTGCTAAGTGTCCTGTTTTAGGAGTGTTTTCAAGTGCTGTGCATGGCTTTGCCAGAAGCACAGTGCTTTTCTGTTTTGATACTGGCTTTAAAAACCATTCTAATCAAGAGCAATTTACCCCAAAGGAGCTTGAGCAGTCAGCTAAGGAGCAAGACAAAGAGTCAGAGAAGCAAGCTCTGCTCCAGGAAGTGGAGAATCACAAGAAGCAGATGCTCAGGTAGGTGAACTTGCTCAGGTTGTTAGTCCCTGGGAAGTAAGCACATAGGTGTTGGTTGTTATGTGCCCTGGAATAGGTTCTGACTCATAGTGACCCTGCATAGGGTTTCCAAGGCTGTAAATCTTTACGAGAGCAGAAAGCCTCATCTTTCTTCTGCAGAACAGCTGGTAGTTTTGAACTGCTGACCATGAGGTTAGTAGCCCGATTCGTAACCACTACGCTACCAGAGCTCCTTGATCCACCTGGCTTGTTGTTGTTGTTAAGTACTGTTAAGTCAGCTGTGATCCATAGCGACCCTGTATAGGGTTTCCAAGGGGCAGCTGGTGAGCTTGAACTGCCGACCTTGCAGTTCAAACGGCATTGCAGTCTGTCGCATTAACCCACAGCGCCACACCAGGACTCTAATCCACCTGGCTTAGTAATGACTTAAGTGTGTCGTTGTGCAATCAAGGCTCTAGCTTGTTAATTTTCATACAGCGTCACACGGTGTGTGTATAGGCAGGTATGTGAAGCTTAGAACATTATATTGTTACTTTATGTTTTTAGAAAAACCACAAAAATTATTGTATTATCAAATCGACTCCTGCTTTGGTAATACCTGAACCCAAAAAGACCCACCATACTTGTTTCTGTCAAGTCAGTTCTGCATCATGGCGATCCCCCTTTCATCTAAGGATGGTAATTGGTCACAGAGAATGGCCACGAGAGCTAATCTACTTAAGAGGGATCAAAATTTCAGAAAGTTGTGAATAGGACTTTAGTAAATGAAACAAAAAAGTAAAACTAAGCCCGCTGTCATGTCAAACATTCAGTTATCATTGTAGTTATATGCTAATTGCAGCTGTATGCTAACTCTGGATATTGATTTGAGGAAGGTGTGTCTTTTCCAGCAAAATTGTCAACCTGAAACAGTACCTTTCTCTTGACATTTGAGTTTTGCATCATAATCCTAAAGAGAGCTGTCATTACAAAACCATTCAAGACTCCAGTAACCTTCCCCAAACTCTGGTCTTCTGGTCGTTCTCCTCTGAAGCCTTACTTTGTTGTTATCATCATAGGTGTTCAGTGGGCTCACTGCCAGATCTTTAGTTGTCTATGACTTTGCCTCTGATTGGAGTTACCCTTCAGCGTCTTTCTCACAGATGCAGCTGTGTTGATAACATCTGGCAGGCAGGAGGAGGCTGACAGGCGTGGGCACTGTAGAGACTAGTGTACACTGGGGCAGTCTAAGTTGGACCATTGTGATACATAGTGATTACTTCCGCTGCGATGACTTCTGTGTCTCTGTGCCACCAAGAGTTCTCTGACTGTAAATACCGTTCCAAAAGAGAGGGGCTGGGGCCTGAGTTAGAACAGTCGTTGGCCACCAAGAGAAGGAAGTGTGGTCGCTAGCAGGAATGGATCTTGTGGCTGTCCCTGTTCCCTTGCTGGGAAGTAGAACTGCTGTGATTTGAACGAACGATGGCCTGGTGGAGTCGGCAGAAACTCATGCTTTGTCCTCTGATTCCAGCAACCAGACCTCATGGAGGAAAGCCAATCTTACGTGCAAAATTGCCATCGACAATCTAGAGAAAGCAGAACTGCTCCAGGGAGGAGAACTCTTAAGGCAAAGGTATCTCTCCTGTATCTTTCTGGGTGCTGATAATGGTATAGATAGCAACTGGCAAGGTAGAAATCCCGTTGTAAGGACACCCCTCTTGTTTTTACCGTAAGAGGGATTACATTATATAAATAACAGTATTTTTTAAAGTATGAAAGGAATACATTCTTAATTTGTACTAAGTTGATAAGGTATGAATCACAAAATGAAAATAAACATAATCCTATTATAACTTATGAACATTTTGATATATTGCCTTCTCCCACTTACTTTTTAAAAAAAAATTTTTATTAAACCAAATTCAAATCTTACCAGACATACAGTTTGGTATCCATTTTACTTCACTTGGGCACAAAGATTTACCCATTGTTTTAAAAACTCTTTAAACATAATTTTAGCAGCACATCGTATTAACCAGTCCCGAGTTTGTACGTGTTTACATTTTTGTTTTTCTAGTACTGAAAATAGTACAGCTGGGCATATCTTCGAACATAAGGCTTTGTCCACATTTTGCATCTGTCATTTGGAGAGATTCCCGGGGAGTGGATTCTTGGGTCTAAGAAATGAACAATTCCAAGTCTGCTATAATGCCTGTTGTCAAGTTGCTTCCCAGTTACAGTCCAGTTTATGTTCCTCGCAGGCTACGAGAGTGTGGTCTGCTGTCATTTAAACAATCGGAACTAACTTGGTTGGTCAGATGCGGCGATCATTTGAATGGTGGGTTTTCATGCAGTCTGGCTTCTGTTGACCACCTTCTCCCTGTGCTCCAGGAAAACCAACAAGGAGAGCCTAGCCCAGACATCCAGTACCATCACAGAGAACCTCATGGGGATCAGCAGGATGATGTCCCAGCAGGTCCAGCAGAGCGAGGAAGCCATGCAGAGTCTAGGTAAGGCCGGGCCTGTGGTCGGAACCTTCTCCCAGAGCACTGGGTCCAGGATCTGAGTTGTGCCGGCTCCTTCCCTCTGCTCACACGAAGCTCAGTGAAACGTGTGGCTTCTCCCTCGTAAGATGATTTTACAGGTTGATCCTCCCTAGTGTGAAGCTGTGCTGTGATCTCTCTTTTTGTATGTAGTTGTGCTAGAACTGCCCCCAACCAGTCCCATTCCACCCCTCCAAGCTCTCGCCTCAGAAGCTTTCCCATAGGTCCTGAAGCACTCTCCTGATCAACTAGGGCTCAGGGAGGGGCCTGGGAGCTGGTTTTTAGTGTGGCATCTGGGGACATTTGAGTCAGAAAGACAGGTTTGGAACTCATTGCTCTGAGAGAAGTGTAGTGTGTCAGCCATCAGCAAGACTACCAGGAACTATAGTCTCAAGAACCATTGTTACTGTGAGTTTCTTTTAAAAGATACAGTCAGGCTTCAGAAGAGGCTGCTTGAGACCATCTGTTTCTCTCCAACTGCTTTCTCATAGTGTGTCCTCTGTAACGCAGAAGAGGATCAGCTATCTCCAGGGTCCTTCACTATTAGGGAAGCCGAAAATGAGTTCATTCCTTCAGGCACATCTGGGAAATTTCACATATACACTAAAGTAGAGAGCAGGGTATAAAGTCCAGGGACCCACCTCCCAGCTCCAGCAGATATCAGTTCATGGCCCATCATGTTTAAACTTCACCCTCACCCCTTCCCCTTCTGGGTTTGAAGCAAATCCCAGGCATCAGCAATAAATATCTTAGGATGTCTCTACAAGATAAGGGGCTCTCAAAAACCAAATAAACATAGCCACAATACTTTTATCACCCCTACAAGTCATCCCGCATTTTGAACTACTGTTTTTCCATGTGCCATGTGAGCACGCAGAGCAGGAAAAAAGCAAGCAGGTTGTCCTCAGATCAGGCCCTAGGTTTGCAACTTCCCTATGGAACTTTCCCTATGGAAAACTCACTAGGTTTGTACTTAATAGCTTTCTGAAATGGCAGTACAGGCATGGAAAAAGAAGCCAGGAATTTCTATTGCATTGGTTTTTTTCCTTATCTGCCTGTTTCAAAATGCTATTCTGTTTTGTCTGGTGTTCTTTTATTTACATGTTACTTTAATTTTGTGGACAGGTAATATAACAATTTTTTTCTCACATTACATGCCCGTGTAAATAACATGCACATGCATATGACACACATAGGAAGCTAATGTATGAGGGTGTTGTGTGGTGTGCAACACTTGTAGAATGTGCATAATATTTGCATAAAAATTGAGGAAAAAGAAAAACTCTGTAACAACACTGTTCAAAAGACATGTAATGTGAACCACATGGGTAATTAGAATTTTTTTTAAGTAGGCACATTTAAAAATGTAAAAAGAAGCAAGTAAAACTAATTGTAATATTGAACTCAATGTATGCAACATATTGCTATGAAATTGCTGTTTAACATTAACGAGATGCTTTATTCTTTTTTTTGTATTGTTGTTGTTGTTAAGTGCCGTCGAGTCGGTTCCGACCCATAGTGACCCTGTACAGGGTTTCCGAGGGTGTAAATCTTTATGGGAGTAGAAAGCCTCATCTTTCTCCCGCGGAGCAGCTGGTAGTTTCGAACCGCTGACATTAAGGTTCGCAGTCCGATTCGTAACCTAGTCTTCAAAATCTTGTATATATTTTACACTTGTAAACATCTCGGATCCAGACTAGTTGGGGTTAGTCACAATAGCTACCTTTTTGGGCAGCACAGCTGTAGTGCACAGGGACTCCTTCGGCTCCATCGGCCCCTGACGTACACTCTGCCAGCTCCACTCTCCAGAGACACCACTGTTAGCCAGTTCCTTGTATAACCTTCTGAGACCCCCAGCATATATAATGCTTGCAAATTAAATTGTATGCATTCCCTTCTTTCTTATACCTAAGTGGGAATATTCGCCATTTCCATTCCAAATATGCCTTGTGTTTTCACTTAGCAGCATGTCCTGATGCCGTATTAAACTTTATAGGAGGAGCTAGCCAAGTGAAGCTTTGTCCCTCAGTGTTGAGCCCAGATTCCTTACAAGTTAATGAGACTCCTGAGCGCAAGGAGCCCGTAAGGGACAGGTGCCTCTGTTTTTCACAGAAAGACCAGAGCACAGGCACCCACATCTTTAAAGTGACCACCAGGACCCAACCCAGGTGGGAAGACAGGGATCCTGGTGGTGCCAAGCCCATGTTGCTCTTCAGTGCAGTGGAACCAGTGTGGGGTGGATGATCACTTTCTCCACTCTTATTCCCCAAATTAAAGTTTGTACAGAGACGATAATTAAGCTAACACCAGTGCCCCTGGGCTGAAGAAGTGCCATGTGCTTGCCCCATCCTGTCCTCTTGTCGTCATGCAAGGAGCACCTCTCACCACCAGGCAAGCCCCATAGAACAGACTACAAGTCCGGGTGCCTTGCGGCTTCTGTCCCAGTACACAACTCGCTTCCATGAGCACTGGGGCTTTTTCGTTTTTGTGACTGGTGATATTTCTCCTCAGGAACACCTCGCTGTTTCGGAAAGGTCAAGTTGGTGCAAAGAAAGGCACCCTTCTGCTCGTTCCTTGGTGGTGCCCATGTTCAAGACTCCTAGTTAGGCCTTGTGGTATCTCTCCTGAAAGCCATGCACATGACTCTGGGCTAACTGGGACCTAGGGCAGTGTCTTTCCTTGTTCCACCCTTGTCCTTTTAGCCCTTCTCAGTTGTCTCAGTCACATTCTTTTATTCGGGTTCAGAGGAACCTGCTTCACATGCAGGGTTCTGGAGCGGCCACCCAGTCTGCACAGCAGGGTCTGTGGATTTTACACTGTTCAGTCTCTGAGTCACGCTTTTTCCGTTTTTTGTTTTAGTCAATTCTTCACGAACTATCCTGGATGCAAATGAAGAATTTAAGTCCATGTCGGGGACCATCCAGCTGGGAAGGAAACTCATCACAAAATACAATCGCCGAGAGCTGACGGACAAACTCCTCATTTTCCTTGCTCTGGCTCTGTTCCTCGCAACTGTTCTCTACATTGTGAAGAAGCGGCTCTTTCCATTCCTATAAGGCTGGAGAGCCCCATGGTTTGACCCCGTGAGCTCCTATTTGAGTATCTGTCCTCACTCCTGAGCTCTAGCCTGGGCTACCACAGTCCCCAGTCTGCTGCAGCAGCTGAGCAAGTCAGATGGAAACACAGCTTCCTTTCCAGGTCCCTGCAGGAGCTCCAGCACCAGAGGGTGATCCGAGAGGGTGCCCAAGTTAGACAAGGGCTCGTGCACTCTGGGTGCCTGCTGCACAGACAAGGACTTGATGGCCGCCTGTCCTTCCCTGCCCTGCAGCCCCCAGTGCCAGGGCTGGTGGAGAGACGAGAGACCAGGGGGAAGGATGACAGACTCCCACGTCCATTCCTTGAATAAACATGGTCATATTTAATAGAATGAAAGGCATTTGGTTTCAAACAATTCCCCTCTGGAAATCTGTGTGCCTGTACCTGTTTTTGATGTTTAGATTTGTAGGGCATGACTTAGAGTCGCTATTCATTCTGCAGAGAATTAAGCAACAGCCACATGCAATGTATTAGAGATACTGCTGAACATTATGACACATTGGAAACCAAAGGCAATGGGAACCAGAGTCCATAGCCTGTCCAGAAGAGTGACAGCAGCCCCACTGAGGGGCTTCCACCAGCATCAGAAAAAGTGGAGACAGACGTGCTTCCCACCTTGCAAGGCAACCTGTCCTGGTTGGGTGTGCGGTGACTAAGTGTCTGGATCATGCCCTTCTCTTTGAGGTCCAGAGCTAAATATAGCCAAGGGGGGAGAAGCCAGTAAGAAGTGGAGGCCTGCTGTGAGAAGTGGAGGCCATGGGGGTCACCAGGGCGAGGCCACACCTGGAGGTGTTGGTGTCTCCTTGTGCTATAGGTCTGGCTGACCTCGGGCCTGAAATCCCAGCTTCCCTCACTATTTATCGCTCCAGAGGCCTGGGAGCTGTCGGGGCAGGGGGTCAATGTAGAGGCCGAGAAGAAAGTAGAAAGAATATGGACTCTGGACCTTGGTTTTGAGGCTTGGTTCTTCTGCTAACTGCCCATGTTGTCCAGGGCAAGTTACCTTACCTCACTAAGCTTCACTGCATCTTTACAGTGGGGATGACAGTCCATGTAGGCCCTTGTAGAGTACGTTTGAGAAGTAAACGAGAATGTGTGGCTAGTTCCTGCTTCCTCCTTTCTGACATGCCACCACTCCAGGACTCTGGTCCTGACGTTCCCAGCAGCCAACAGCCAAGGGGCCCCATGGAAAGCCGGGCTAGGCCTCAGAAGTTCTGTTCAGAGGGGACTGAGTCAATAGTACGAAGCAACAGAAGAACAGTATACACACAAATATGTATAAGGTATGCCCACTGCCACTGAGTCATTCCGACACAGTGACCCTGTAGGGCAGAGTCACCCTGCTCGTTAGGGCTTCCAAGGCTGTGACTCTCTGGGAGCCAACTGTTTCATCTTTTCAATTCCTGACCCCAGAAGACGTTCAGATGTTGTATGCAAGTTGTGCACTTGTGTTTATTTATAATCAAATTGAAGCTGTGAATAAAGCGCAGATGGGAGATTCTCACTCAGCCTGCAGCTGTAAGTGCAGCAGATGGATGTTATCAAGTTAAGATTTTCTTGTCTTAACATTTGTCTTTATGACTTCCCACTAATTATCAACATCCTTCTCGCAGTATGGAAATATGTACTTTCTATACTCCCGAAAAATTCCCCCTTTGACAGTGTATTCCCTTTCTGAAAAAAGAGCTGAATTTAGTCCATTTTGAGATGTCTTTGATAACATGTCCTTCAACCCCAAACCATCAAGGTTCAAAGACTTCACACAGCCCGGGAGCCACCACCTCCACGTCCAGCCATGAGAGGGCAGTGTTCGCATTCACTCTATGGTCTTGTGTGTCTGACTATGCCCATCAGTCCATTTGAAATTCACCTATGTGTTTGGGGATATTTTAGATATCAAATTAAAAACAAATATACAAGCTTACCTATACCTTGTTTATGGAAGATGTATCAAAGATTAATTTTCACTGCTAAACAGTAAGCCCAGCTTGATTTCTACATTTTCACTAGTAGACAGTCAAATCAGAGTCCAGAGCAGCTGTCAAAAGGTTCATTCAACAAATACTATAGTATTGATTTCTTTCAATTAGTATTTTACTCAAGGTCAACAGTTAAGAACTACCAACCATTCCATGGGAGAAAGATGAGGCTTTCAGTTCCCGTAAAGATTTACAGCCTTGGAAACCATATACAGGACCACTATGAGTCAGACCCAACTCCACAGCACATAACCACCACCAAGCACCTTTTAGGAGTCCTGGTGTGGTGCTGCAGACAAGCACTGAACTGCTAACAGCAAAGTCAGTGGTTCAAACCCTTCAGCTGCTCCTTGGCCACTTTGAGTTGAAACTGCCTCGAGGACACTTAACAACAATAAAACAATCACAGGGGCCCTGGTGGTGTAGTGGGTTATGCATGGGGCCTCTGACTACAAGGTCAGCATTCAAACCAGCTGCTCTAGGGGAGAAAGAAGAGATTTTTCTGCTCTCATAAAAATTCACAGTCTTGGGAACTCTACAGGGTCACCATGAGTTGGAACCGACTCAACAGCATACAACATCTGCAGCCACGAGCACCCTCTGGGTGACACTCAACTACTCACCTGGTATGGCACAGTAGGATCAACACTGGATAGCTACGTGCAGGCAAGGTGGTGGTTGTTAAGAGCCATCCAGATGGTTACAACTCAGCAACCCTTAGTTTCCGAAGAGTGGCTGGCGAGCAAGCAAGGTTGGTGGTTCAAACCCACCAGCTGCTCCTCGAAAATGCTATATAGGGTTGCTATGAGTCAGAATTGACTCAATGGCATTTTACAACAACCAACCTAAGGGAGGCCTGGTGTGATTCGGATAATCACTGGACTGCTAACCTCAAGGTTGGTAGTTCAAACCCACCAGCCACTCTTTGGAAACTATATACAGGGGGCACTGTGAGTTGGAACCAACTTGATGGCACTTAACACCAACTAATCTAAATGTAGTCAATTTGAACCCACCCAGAGACACTGCAGAACAAAGGCCTAACAATCGGCTTCCCTAAAATATTCCATCCGTGAAAATCCTGTGGAGTAGTTCTACTCTAACACACAGGGTCACCAAGAATCAGAATTGATAACAATGAGGGTAACACCTTTTGTGTACCATGCCCTGGTTTAGGGATACAACATTGAAGAAAACAAAGATTCCCTGTCATGGAGCTTAGAGTATGTTGGGTGGGGAGGATGAGCAGGTGATAAATTGGATATCCTAAATAGATTGTTAATTATGTTAGGAAATGAGTGCTATGGGAAAAAATAAAGCAGGGCAGTGTGCATCTGGAATATTGGGGTGGAGAAGGCTTGCAATATTAAGGAGTTAGGGTTCATCACACTGAGGAGGTAAGATTTGAGCACAGATTGGCTGGGAGGGAGTTGTCCTTGTACATAGCTCTGGGAAGATGGTTCCAGGTAGAACAACAAGAGCCAAGGCCTACGGTGATAGCATGACTTCAAGAAAAGCAAGGAAACTGCAACAGTGTCTGGAATAGAGTGGGCTTTGGAAGTAACATGAGGTCAGAGATGGTAGGGGACAAGATCATAAAGGACTTGTAGGTCATTGGAAAGATTTGGCCTTTTACTCTGAGGGAAATGGAGAGCTATGGGAGGGTACAGGGCAGAGGCAAGACCCAACCCAACCTGTTGCCTCTGTGTTGATATTGACTCATAGCAACCCTACGTTATTGTTCTTAAGTGCCATTGAGTCGAATCCGACCTATAGCAACTCTGTATAGTGTTTCCGAGGAGCAGCTGGTGAGCTTGAACCACCGACCTTGCAGTTCAAATGACTGCAGTCTGATGCGTTAGCCCACAGCACCACACCAGGACTCCATAGCAACCCTATAAGATAGAGTGAAATTGCCCCATAGAGTTTCCAAGTTTATAAAAGCACACATCTTTCTCCCACTGAGTGGCTGGCTGGTAGATTCAAACCACTGACCTCTCAGTAACTGGGCACGTACCCACTGCACCACCAGGGTTCCTTGGGGCAGAGAAGTGACCTGACATGACTTGTGTGTTGTTGTTAGGTGCCATCAAGCCAGTTTCAACTAAGCAATCCTACAGAATCCCTGCCAAGTTCTGTGCCATCCTCACAGTCATTGCTGTGTGAACCCATTGTTGCAGCCACTGTGTCATTTCATCTCATTGAAGGTCTTCCTCTCTTTCGCTGACCTTCTCCACTTTACCAATCATGAAATCCTTTTCCAAGGACAGGTCCCTCCTGATAACATATCCAAAGTATATGAGAGGAAGTTTTGCCATTCTGGCTTCGAAGGAGCATTCTGGCTTCTGTATTTTTCTAAGACAGGTTGGTTTGTTCTGGCAGTCCATGGTGTATCCAGTGTTCTTTGCCAACATCATAATTCAAAGATGTCAATTCTTCTTTGGTCTTCCTTATTCATGGCCCAGCTCTCACTTGCAATGAAGTGTTTGAAAATATCATACCTTAACCTTCAAAGTAACATCTTGAATGTTGATGTGGATCCAAAGTAAAATGGAATCTTTGACTTCAATTTTTTCTGTTTATCATGATGTGAAGATTTTTGTTTTCTTTATGTTGATATATAATCCATTCTAAAGGTTACAGTCTCTGTTCTTCATTAAAGTGCTTGAAGTTTTCTTTCCTTTCAGTATGCAAAATTGTGTCATCTGCATATTACAGATTGCTAATGAATCTTCCTACACTCCCGAGGCTGTGTTTCCCATATAGTCCAGCTTCTCAGATTATTTGTTTAGCAAGTAGATTGACTAAGTATGGTGAAAGGATACAACCCTGGCCCACACGTTTCCGGATTTTAACTCACTTAGTGCCCCCTTACTCTGTTTGAATGACTGCTGCTTTTTAACGCTTGGAAGAAATCTTTTGCAGCAGATTTTCCCAAATGCAATGTATTGTTTGATTTCTTGACTGCTGCTTCCATGAGTGTT